CGAGGCCGCTTGGCCGCCGCCGCCGCCGGTGCCGGCGGTGCCCGTCCTGTCGGCGGAGGAGCTTCTGGGCGGCGATTCCTGCGAGAAGCCGAGCCCGAGCAGTCACGTCGTCGTGGGAGAGCCGCCCGCCGATGCTGCTGCACTGCAGGTGTGTAAAGCGTGAGGTCTTTCTGGTTTCAGAACTTTCTGAAATGTCGTTCATGTTTTCCGGGTATTTTCTGCGTGCTGTCTGAGGGGTCTCGTCATTTGTGTTTCTACGTAGTGGCGGAAGTTTTGCATTTTATTCACGGTAACAGATTCAGCTGACAGGCTTTGTTTATGGCTCTCCTTTCGGCTCGTGGCAGCGTTTCTCAGAGTTTCTCTGTGTTTCCTGAGATTGAAGTTTTTGGTTTTGTGGGTTGCACAGTCCTGTCTCTGTGATGGAGTGAATTAAGGAACGGGCAATGCCCCGTTCATGGAGAGCAGGAAGCACTTGGTTCTTCCTTGGTCACAGGTTCAGCTTCAGCCGCGAGGTTTTGTCGTTTGAACTTGAGCTGTTAAAATTAGAATTTGTTCGCAGTATGGAATGCTGGTTGCTATTCTGTTTATGGAGAATTTCTCATTCTGCATGATGGAATGGTGGAGAAACGAGAAAAGCACTGACAGCGGGTGTTGGAACTTTCATTCTTCCTGATTGCTTTGTTTAGTAAGGTTATGCTTGGAACTCGTGTAGAGCTTTACACAAACCCGTTCGCTAAATTTTGCTTTTCCCGTGTTTGACTTAGAAAGGAAACGAATGTGGAAAGTTCCATATTCGTGAATGAAGTGAAAGTGAATAAAGAGATTGTCACCCATTTCTAGGAGGAATGCAGTAGTGGGAGTGGATGGCTTCTTTTTCTGCATCCTGGCTGGCAGTTCGCTCCGTTTTGCTCTTCCGAATCTTTAATTCGTATACTCATGTGTGTATTGAATGATTTGTGTTTCAGAGATTTTGATTTTTCTATGCTCTTTTCACAAAGGTGTTGTGGGGTTTCAGTAGAACTCGAGGATATCGGGAATATAAAATTTCTGGAATGCTGTTTCCTAGGGTAAACATCTGTGATAGGGAGGGATGACAAATCAGGGAGATCGGCCAGAGAACGGTTTGGGTACTTGAATCAAGGCCATTTGCATATTTATTCGTGGTCAGTTTCAAGAGCACAATGTTCCTGTTGTTCTATTGTTCTGTAATTCCTTACTTGAAAGCATATGATACCAACCTCATTAAGATATAATTATATGGAGAGTTTACTGACGAACTTTAATGCTTTCACATTGATTTCAGAAAACAGGAAACCTAGACTGTCTTGGTGAAATACAAATCTGTATAAACAGAGGAAACACTAGCTTTATCATAGGAAGGGATACCAAATATGTGAAGTTCTTATACTTTCCTTGTAAGAAAATGTGCCAAATGTGCCAGTGAGGAGATGGCCACAAGTACAAGCTGCCAGCTGTATGGTGGAGAAGAAAAAGAAGAGAGGGGAGCTCTGTGTGTGAGGCTAGAGGAGAACTCGGTCGTTGCCTTGTTTGTCCCATGTCATAGATACACTTGTTTATTTGTCCCTGTTATTCAGTGCTGTAACAGTGAGCTCCCTGATTGCAAGAGGAATGCAATTGCTCTCATCCCGCTTGTGTTAATGAACCTGACTACTGTGATTATTCGGGATGCTCTATCCTCCCGTTTACTCTCTGAGATCCAGTGTTTGAAGATGCTTTTGAACAAAAAGGATAATACTATCAGTAAGGTACAGGGTAAAATATGGAAAATGTGTTTGAATTAACATATAATGTCATTAGTAAGCGATTCCTTTCCCGTGCGGTTCAAGAACCGCGCTCACGGAATATCTCTGCCTTCCTCCCGATCGCGATGCCCTGGAGGGTCAAAGGCGAGATGGGCTGGGGAAAAGCAGAGGCAGGAGATCGGCGCGGGCCGGAAAGCGGCGTGTGGGCGGCGAGTGGTCCCTGTTTGTAGGCAGGCAGGGCGGGCAGCGCTCGGTGTCTGCAGTGCCGGGAGGAGGCTGCGGGCGCCGCTGTTGACCGAGAGGAGCGAGAGGAGGATCGGAGCGCTGCCGGCAGCCCCGCCCGCTGCGGCCAGGCTGGATCGCTGGATCGCTGGATCGGTGGGTGGGCAGCCCGGGCGGCGGTGTGCGATCGTCCTGCGGGTGCGGATCCGTGCGGCGGAGAGGCGGCGGAGG